ACGTTGTAGCCAGTGATGGGTGATATAGATGTGAGACGTTGTAGCCAGTGATGAGTGATATAGATGTGGGACGTTGTAGCCAGTGATGGGTGATATAGATGTGAGACGTTGTAGCCAGTGATGAGTGATATAGATGTGGAACGTTGTAGTCAGTGATGGGTGATATAGATGTGGGACATTGTAGCCAGTGATGGGTGATATAGATGTGAGACGTTGTAGCCAGTGATGAGTGATATAGATGTGGGACGTTGTAACCAGTGATGGGTGATATAGATGTGGGATGTTGTAGCCAGTGATGGGTGATATAGATGTGAGACGTCGTGGGCTTGGGCACCCATACCCCGCTCTCCTAAATTGAATTTCTTTTGATGATTTTATTTGATTTTTTAAACGAATTTCTTCAAGCAAGACTGGCGAACAGAGGTTAAGACTAATAGCCGGTGTATCCCCACCGCAATGTTGGTTTTATATCCGCGGTCACCTCCAAAACCCAGGGCTGATTTTATATCCCACATTACAGCCTGCACCCCTGGGGATCCTTTTAATTTATGCACTGATAGTTTAACAGAACATTTGTTAATCTCCAAAACAGAGGCGTCGCTACGTACTCGCACACAGGCCCAGAGTACCCAGTTGGTGTCTTGAAAAATCAGAAGAGAAAACAATGACTGATATCATACTAAAATGCCGAAAATTCCCGCGCCAATCCCCGAATCTTTTAAGTACCTAGCGACTGTCTGTCCCCAATAACTTTCTGTCACATTCATTAAAAGTTACCTTATTATTTTTATATATTTCAAAATTACCTGAGACAGTTGTTATCAAAGCGGTTATAGCTGGCGAGAGTCAGCAGACCGCCAAAACCCGAGCCTAGCGAATAAAAAATCTGTGTGGCTGCATCACCCCAAACCTAAACAAATTATAAAGAAAAACTGGTTATCAAACTGGTTATAAAACACATTATTAGTTTAATAAAAACAAAAAACTCGCTAATTTTCACTAAAGAAACGGTAAACTTGAAATCAAAGATATAATATAAACAAAAAGTGATGATTATACTTTTATAACGAACTAAAACAAAACGTTGCTACAAATTACAATCACGGTCGGACAAAAAAAAGAGATCTTGAACTAATAACCACAGAAGATCTTGAATACCGTTTTTTTATGTCTGGTTTTAAATTTTCGGAATTCTATGAAAATAAAAATAAAATATTTTTAAAGGCATTTTTAGATGATCTGTAACTGATTCATTCATGTCGGCAGGGGACTAGGGTGGGGAATGTAACAACAGATTCATTGTCAAAACGTACAATCCAGTTTGAAAGACGTACAATCTAATTTGAAAAACGTACAATCCAATTTGAAAAACGTACAGTCCAATTTAAAAAATTACAATCTAATTTGAAAAACGTACAATCCAGTTTGAAAAACAGACAATCCAATTTGAAAAACGGCAATCCAGATTGAAAAACTACAATCCAATTTGAAAAACTACAATCAAGTTTAAAAAACGTATAATCCAGTTTGTAAAACGTACAATCCAATTTAAAAAATTACAATCTAATTTGAAAAACATACAATCCAATTTGAAAAACTACAATCGAGTTTAAAAAACGTATAATACAATTTGAAAAACGTACAATCCGGTTTGAAAATCTACAATCCAATTTGAAAAACATACAATCCGGTTTAAAAATCTACGATCCAATTTGAAAATCTACAATCCAATTTGAAAAACGTACAATCCGGTTTGAAAATCTACAATCCAATTTGAAAATCTACAATCCAATTTGAAAAACGTACACTCCGGTTTGAAAATCTATAATCTAATTTGAAAATCTACAATCCAATTTGAGAAACGTACAATCCAGTTTGATTCAAGAATCTTGCTACTCAAGGAGATCAAACAATACCATACGAGTTTGGTTAGTTTGTTTATAGCAGTATCAGCAAATTATTCACCCTTTTAAAGGAATCAAAGAACCCAACCGTTGCTACGACGTCTTCCTCTGATCATCACACCTCTTTCAAAAGTTTTATTCAAACACTGTGATGCATTACATTCACATTAAATCACCTTTCTTAGTCTGTTCATAAAAGACTACTGCAGATTGAAAAACCTTTATCATGTTTTGGATTATTTTTCTATCCATTCATATCACATTATTTTAGGATCGAGGTGTGGCCTAGTAGATAGTGTTTCGGACTGTGGCAGACCAAAGAATCACTGTTCTTTCCCTTCTTATATTTTTGTCCTCTTCTACCTGTTCAAACTATATTAACCTATTAGTTCGGTTTTCACTCTTCACTTGTCCTCTTAAAACTACACCATCTTCATCAACTTATGAATTCATCATTCCATCAACTTTTTACCCATTGACTTCAGCTAGCTTTCCTGCACTACCCAGTCTAACTGTGTTTTTACCCTTTCTTTTCTTACCTGCATGCTGTGTTCCAACATTTCTTTGTTTCGGTCTGTCATAATTCTCCAAATGAGTGAATGTTTTCATACTTATTACTCATATGATATGCCCACGTATATTCTAATATATATAATGACGCCCAAAGAAAGTCAAAGTCTAAATTCGTGTATGTACTTTATGGAAATGTACATTTAATATATTCGTAAAAGTCAAGATTTATAAGGAATACAGTTACAAGAAGTTAAATATGGTATTGACATTTAAAAATATTATACTAAAAAAAAAGGTATATTCCTCTTTTAGGTTGTTTACTTCACTGCACTGTTCCCATACGTTGTTCTGGTGATTTTATTAGTCAGAGGTGTCACGTTAGATGGCGCTGCTGATGGCATATATTTTTACATTGTTCCTAAGTGGGAAAAGCTGAGTGATCCAAAGGTAATTAATTAATATTACGTTTCATTTTGTGATCTTTATACGTATCTCACTGTTGTTATTTACATTATTGGTACAAAATTAACAGGGTACGTATCTAATGTTGAATTCTGAACAAATATGCTTAGTTATGTGTCTTTAATATGAACAGGTCTACTGCATTATTGGTGTTTGGATTTGTTAGTCATCCCTAATTTTTAAATACTGACGTAGAGAAGACGTAGCCAATCAGCAACACGCGTTGTAACAAGGACTTTGTTCAGCTCTTTGAATCAAATAACAAGCTGACAGCCCGGAACTTTTTCAGAAGCATCTTGCCTCGAACCTCGGACCCTCGATAAAGAAAACCACAGAGAGTTGGTGTACAAGTAAATATAAGAAGGGAAAGGACAGTGATTCTTTGGTCTGAAGAAAACCACAGAGAGTTGGTGTACAAGTAAATATAAGAAGGGAAAGAACAGTGATTCTTTGGTCTGAAGAAAACCACAGAGAGTTGGTGTACAAGTAAATATAAGAAGGGAAAGAACAGTGATTCTTTGGTCTGAAGAGAGTTGGTGT